GCATCACACATGTCCATGAACTGACAGGTTTCCTTGATGAGCTCAAAAACTTTTAGGACTTTACCACACAGCGTTTCCTGGTGTGTGATGCAGTGATGTTAACTCACCGGTACATTTCTCCTGCATATTTACTCGCATCCTGCTGACTAGTCCGCTTTTTTCACCGCACAGCACCGGCGCTCCATCTGTTGTAAGTCCAACAAGTTTGGCCCAGGGCAGTTTCACGTCGTTACACTTTGACATGCGTCTAAAAAATGTCTTTTCCTGTCGTTGTGCATCGATTTAATGTCCAATATTTCCTCTCCACGGATGAAGATGGCCAGCTGTGCAATGTCCATCATGTCTGTACTTTCATCCACAGAGAGTATGCAATGAAGGTTTTGCTTCTTTCACACAACTGTGTTCTTAAATCAGAGGTAGTGATGTGCGATACCACTGAATTTCTTTCCTTTCCGATACCAAGTAATATTCAGGGTTCACAAAAACTTATTTTATTTATTGTGTCTCAAATTATAGTGTCGTAATGATTACAGGACATCAGTCAACCGTGTTCATGTCACTGAAATCTCCAGCTTCAGGTTCAGTGTAGCTCATTGGGCTTCATGGCCTCTTCTCTGAGACCTCCACACCACAGGACCAGAAGGATCAGCTGGTTTCAAACACCAGGTGCTGCCAGCTCACAGGAGGGGACTGGATTCATTCTGGACAGGTAGTTTAAACTCTCCGGCCAATAAAAATGGTTTAATCAAATATGCAGTGTTTACAAACAAAACACAGAGAAGGTGATTTATTAAAACAACACATGAACTTTCCTAGATTTCTGGTTTACGACCATTAGCCAATAAAGGAATATTGGCAGGTTTGAAAGCTTGTCTCAACGTCCCAACTGAGAAAAATAAACATTTAAACTTTGTTGCTAGATGAGGTTCAAATTACAGAGTCAGGTAGCTGTAAGCAAGCAAGCAGTTAAATTTAAGCACAAGTCAACAGATTTCATAGACACACAAGTGTATGACCTGTTGGACAAACTCTTCTACATCCAATCATCTTTTACGAGGTCAGATTCGTTTCTTTTTTCAGCATCACACAAGTTACAAAGAGCAGAAATGGGTAACAACAGTTTTTGAATATTTGCGACTCAAATATGAGCCAGAGTCCTTCAGGAAGTCCAGCGCCACCAGGCCACCTTCATACGGTCCCACACAGCTTCTAAAGAGTCAAAAGCAGGTCGCACGTCCAGGGTGGAGAACTGGTAGGTGTCCTTGTTGATTTCTCCATCGTAATAGTCGATGACGTAGCGCACCTCCTTCCCACAGCGGTCAACGATCCAGTCGTGACGGTCGAACGGCAGCTCGTAGCTGCAGAGAGACAAACTCAATTAGTCACCAGGATCTTCACCAGGAGGCTTCCATGCACCATGTTTGAATGGACCGCTGCATGGGCGGCTTCATTATAGCGGACCAGCAGACCCAACCGAGAAACATAACACACAGACAAAATTATTAAACGTGCATCAGGATGTTTCACTCTCACCCCATCCAGTGCCGGAGGCGCGCCCTGGGGGAGTACTCTTTAGCCTTCCCACCGAATCTCCTCAGAGTTGGTCCACATGGACATTCCCTATACGAGGTAAAAGGTTCATCAGTTAGGGCTCAGCTCTGTGACCAACAGGCAGCTCACTGCAAACGATCGCACTGACTCACTGAGCGTGCAGAGCCTCCCACTTCAGGATCTCCTGCCAGGCCTGCTCATTGTTCTGATTGTGGATTTTAATGATGTTGGTCATGTCACCTTTGCTGAGGTCATCATCTCGCCAGCGCCACCTGCAGCACAGGAACAAAGGAAACAGTCTTTAGCAGATATTTCTCCGTCACTGTGCTGCTGCAATATTTAAAGCTACCGATACGTGAAATCCAAGCATTTTTAAAAACACTGACTTTTAGGTTCAATGAGACACTAAATAGAAGTTCATAGTTTCCAACATCGTAGCCTGAAGTAGTCGTAACACCAGCCAACTGACCCCTTCCTCAGCATGGCGTTCCAGAACATCTGCTCCGACGGGTACACCCAGTTCTTCTCCGTGTCGTGACGTGGAATCGTGGACTCCTCTCTTCTGACAGAGAGTTCGAAGGGCTGGTCTGGAGCTGGCGTTTGGTTGGGAGGAGGCATCTGCACGTGTGCAAAAAGATCAACTAATCATACAGTCTGAGCCACGACCTTAAAACATGGAAAAGATGTCAAGCGTGACAGCCATAAGTCCTCCAGGAGAGAGTGCAGCATACATGTGTTTCATACCTGTGGTCACGTGTTGAAACAACTGAAAAGCTTGCATAACAAAGCTGCTTCTCTTTTGCAACACTAACATGTTGTTGTCAGCTGGCTGAATACACAAGCACACAAACTGGAGCCACCGCAGACAACAACAGTGCGTAGCAGCGAACGAGGCCAGTGTATCAGAACTAAAACGACTTAAGGATCAGGCAACCGTAGCTGAAAACATAAAAGTTCTTTCTAAAGTAAAGCCTCTTTGCTCCGAGCTGCACAGCTACCATATTTGCTGGATCGATGTCGCCCTTCGTGATTGCTGCAGCTCTCATGGGACACTCCACGAAGCTGTACGCCCGATCCTGGTGGGCCGGACCTGCAGGAGAACACGAGCGAGCCGCAGGTTTGATCATTTCATTAAAACCATCATCTGAACATAGAAATGTGTTGCAGTGCAGGCAAGCCACAGGCTATCCTTTAGACTCTACCTTTTTCAGCCTGAGCTTGATGCATGGGGCATTGTGAAGGCGGAGATGCTAAGAAGAACACAAATACACAACCACAGTCAAGATATAATTCAACATCATTCAGTAAACTTGTACAGTTTATGATAACAGTGACGAATGAGAGCTAATGACCTATAACACCATGAAAGGCAGTTTTCTGTGGGAGTAAAACACCATCTGTGTGTACAGGACCTTCTCTCTGACACAAGCCGTTTCTTTTCTTAATTGCTCGAGTTAAGCGTGTCACAGTATACTAATATTTATGATAAACCTGTTATCTTCCTCATACAGTGGAAGAAATTCACTTTCCACGAACACTGAGTTAGGCTGTAAGTACCTGAGCTCTGGAGTCAGGAAATATCGCTCCATTTATTAACTGTTCTGTTGCAACTTCTCTGCTTTCTAAGCATTCAGCCTGATGCTAGCTGCTCTGCCACAGCTTACAGCGGCTTGTCCATATTTCTTGAGTATTTGTTTTAATCTGTGCGATATGAAATCTATAGAGCTAACAAACTAAACAGACAAATAATGGTGAATAAAAAGTGTTTTACATATTAACAGCCACTGTGATGCCTCTTTGGAGTGATTATCAGATTTTCCATTCCCGGCTTGTCGACATTCGTCAGAGTATTTTATAAATGTGCAGTTAGTAGCAATAAAAAATATCTGTTTCACAAACTGCATGCCGTCTTCACCTTGCACTTACAAAGGAGACT